TGTGGCATCATAGCTCACAGCAACCTCCAACTCAGGCTCAAGAGATCCCTTTGTCTCAGTTCCTATATTTTTAGTAGAGACAGGGTCTTGCTTTTGCTGAGGCTGGTCTCAAACTCCTGAGCTCAAGTCAATAAAGCTTTTTTAAAAAGAGTACCCATATCACAAAGATGCTCTGAAAATAAAAATGTAAACTGTCCAGCACTGTGCCTGGCACATAGTAAACACTCAATAAATATTAGTAATTAGTATAACAGAGAAAAGATTAAAGAATAGAATAAAAGTATGTAAATGTTTTAAAAGCAATTAAGGAATTATTGGGCTGGTTGAAACTTCAGAGATCGTTTAGCTGAACTCCCCTCATTTTACAGATGAGAATGTCAGAGATCAGCAGGTGAAGTACCTCATTCAAGGTTTAGCTCTAAGACCAGACTCTAGACCTGCTGGATCCCCTCTTAATGCAATTCCTGTTACCACTTTCTATCTCAGAAACATAGGCATATGGAAAATAGACACTGTTTCCTTAAAGAAGAAATCACATATAGGAGAACCTATGCAGAATCACATGCAGGAAACCTATGTAGAAATGTTAAAGAAATAATTTCAAGGCCAAGGAGCAAACCAAGAGGCTGTCACATCCTGGCCTATCAGCCAGGACCTACAACAGTGGGATCCAAGTCATGACACCATAAGGGCTTTAGCAAGGCCAGGCCTTTGACCAGTTATGTGAACCAGCTCAGCTCTCTGGCCAAGTACCCGGCAGAGGTGAAGCTACAGTCCTCTCTGCTACTTCTGGACATAAGATCTGTCAGCAGTGGCAGGAGCTGTGGTCAAAACTGAATCCAGAATACTTGGCAACAGTCAGAGAAACCCTCAAGTGGGGACATTGACTAAAAGCCACTTCTGCCCATGCTGAGTAGTCTGGCCCCTATTGTTTATCCACTGGCATTGCCTAATTGGACCCTCTGAATTCTAAGACCTTTGCTTACAATCCTCTAAGTTGCCTATCAGTTAGTTCCTCCTCCATGGAAACCTCTCTAGATGAATGAGGATGCCTAGCAGATGTGAAATGACCCAAGCTTCCTGATCCTTTATTAATGCTGCCATAAGAGAACTTGATAATATAGCTGGAAGATTTGGAGGGTAACTAAAGTATCCCAGTGCTAAACAGTGGACAGGAGATAAAGCGTATCTTCCGAGTCACAACTGTCTTAATATTTTAAGGGATAACATTCAATGAGTCAACTCTGTTATTCTTAGGGAGTGGTGGAATCCTGTTTCCCTACTTTTCCTGAAAAGTAACAATTTAGGACAGATGGTTGGTACAGCCCCCTAAAGTTATGATACACTGGAAGGAGAAGGGAAAAAAGGAAAGAGGGACAGAGGAGAATTAAGGCCTGTAACAGCTTTTATGATTTAACTCAGTACACTAAAACTTCTCAATGAATAATTCATAAAAGTGCCTCATTCTTTTCCAACTGTTTAAATCAAAATCAGTGCAAGGACAAAGGATATTCTGTCCATCCTTTTCATCTGAGAATTGGGGGTGTAGGTTATGAACAAATGGGTAAGTCAAACTTTAGCCTTTCCACAGAAAATCTTCTCCTGTTTTGCAAATCATTCCATACAATGAACACTTTGATGTCGAAGGAGGTGAGAGCTACGACTAAAGGTCTTCTGACATTCCTGGCACTCATAAGGCTTCTCTCCAGTGTGAATTCTCTGATGTATGATAAGCTGGGAATGCTGGCTAAATGTTTTCTCACATTCATTACATTCATAAGGTTTCTCTCCAACGTGAATTTTCTGGTGGAGAAGCAGCTCAGAATTATCCCAAAACGTTCTTGCACACTCGTTACATTGATGGGGCTTCTCTCCAGTATGAATTCTCTGGTGGACAATAAGGTGAGAGGTCCGCCTAAAAGCCTTTCCACACTCAAAGCACTCATAAGGTTTCTCTCCAGTGTGAATTCTCTCATGCCTAAGAAGTTCGGAGTTCCCCCTGAAGGCCTTCCCACATTCCTTACATACATAGGGCTTCTCACCAGTATGAATTCGAATATGACGAATAATCTCTGAGTTCTGCCCAAAAGTTTTTCCACATTCATTACACTCATAGGGTTTGTCCCCTGTATGAATTCTTTGATGCCGGATAAGCTCAGAACTCTGACCAAAGCCTTTCCCACATTCATTACACAGATATGGTTTTTCTCCAGTATGAATTTTCTGGTGTCTAATAAGGCCCGAGCTATGCTTGAAGGCTTTACCACATTCATTGCATTCATGATATCTTTCTTCAGTATGAATTCTCTGATGCTGAATAAGCTGTGAGCTAACCCTAAAGGTCTTCCCACATTCATTACATTCATAAGGTTTCTCTCCAGTGTGGATTCTCTGGTGGAGAATAAGGGCTGAATTCTGGCTGAAGGCTTTACCACATTCTTCACACTTATAGGGTCTCTCTCCAGTGTGAATTCTGTGATGGTGGATAAGATGTGAACTCTGAATAAAGGCCTTCCCACATTCACTACACGCAAAGGGTTTCTCTCCAGCATGAATTCTAAGGTGCCTCCGAAGGCTTGAATTAGTTCCAAATGTCTTTCCACATTCTTTGCATTCAAAAGGTTTTTCTCCACTGTGTACTCTCATATGCTGGATGAGATGTGAGTTCTGATTAAAGGCTTTCCCACATTCTTTACATGTATGAGGCTTTTCTCCCACAGAACATCTCTGTGTTTTGTTAAGTTCTAAATTCTCTATGAAGTTTTGGCCTGAGGTAGGAAACTTACTAACCCCCTCTGCTATAGTATCTCCCTGATGTGTAACTGGATTTGGGCTGGGACTGCCTCTCTCACTCTCATTATTCTCCTGATCTTTCTCACTTAAAGGTGATTTCTTAAAAATAATCAACCCTGATGCAAAGTCTCTTTCCTGAGGAGACATCTGCTCTATAATCTCTTCTGTGTATTCTCTTGAATGTTCCTCTGATATATCTTCTTCATATGCCGCTCCAAACTCCTGACTTTGGTAAACCACTTTTGGCAATTTTTCTAATATTGACTCATGTGACTCAGATTCTTCAGAAACTTCTTCCTTGGGAATCACCTCCTGGTTCTCAGTCCCCATCTCACAATCTGAAATGAGAAAAGGTAAGCATGTGAAGTGACTATGTCATATTTAAATGAAGCTAACACTTTAGGAGCTCAGACTTTTGACTTAGTTCTGATAGCTCAAAATCAGTCTTGGTATCTGGTGAAATGACAGGAAGCTGCTAAAGAGAACAGGCTAAGTATGTAGATTCCGACTGAAAAGAGTGGGGAAAATGATCAGCAGAAGAGATTTAAAGAGAGAAATAGGAAATGAATGGTAAAAAGGTTGCTGATAAAAAGTTCTATGATATTGAGCTGAGAAGATTCAAGGAAGAGTTGAGCAAATCGCACAGGTGAGCTGGACAGGGGTCTTGCTACTGCCATGAGCTGCACCATCGAAAAAATCCTGACAAACACCAAGACACTGCTGGAGAGGCTGCAGGAGCATGATGCAGCTGATGAGTCACTGGTGGATCAGTCGGCGGCCCTGCACCGGCAAGTGGCTGCTATGTGGGAGGCAGGGATGGTGCTTCTGGACCAGTATCAAGAGGATGCATCCGATATGAAGGACATGTCCAAATACAAACCTCACATTCTGCTGTACCAAGAGAACACACAGATTAGAGACTTACAGCAGGAAAACAGAGCTGTGGGTTCCCTTGGAGGAACACCAGGATGCTTTGGAACTCATCATGAGCAAGTACTGGAAACAGATGTTACAATTAATGCCTGCTAAAAAAGCAGTGGATGCTGAACCAGTCCTGAAGCTCACCAGTCTCCCTCTGCAGAAACTGAGGGTCAGATTGACAGAATCTGTGAAGTGGGAGAAGTGATGAGGAAAGCAGTTCAGGTGGATGATGACCAGTTTTGTAAGATTCAGGAAAAACTAGCCCAATTAGAGCTTGAAAATAAGGAACTTCGAGAATTATTGTCCATCAGCAGTGAGTCTCTATAGGTCAGAAAGGAAAACTCAATGGACACTGCTTCCCAAGTCATCAAATAACTGAACTCTGATGGCTACTGATTATCTATCAAGGAAGGAAGTTGTTATCTTCCCAATCAATTATTGTCCATTCAGTGTCTTGCCTCAGACTTGATTTAGTGTTGATTAAAGGTATCAGGTGGCATTTTAGAATTTCCATTCAGTATTGGCTGTCCACAAAACAGTTTTTAGGTGTATTAGTGCATATACACACTGAGTCTTACTACTTCTTTCTCCAAAAGACTGCTTTTAATTTTCCTTTCCAGGACCTCCGTTTACGTAATCTGTGTTTTCAGGTCATTTTGTTTTTCATATCTCTGAAACTTTGAGCATTTTATTATAAACCAGCAGTTTTATTTTATATAACATTGTAAAATACACTTCTAAGGATTTTTAAAAGAGATCTAACTTTTTAAATCTATTTAGCATAAACTTGGATTTTTTTCCATTTGACAAAGTAATACAGTTCCACGGAACTAGTTGGGCAAGTCTCTGATTTGTAATGTCATTTCACCTGTGAAGTTTTAAGTCTCTCTGGTGCTGAGAGTTGGCACTTTGTGACCTGGTGTCTTTACTCTTTATTTGAGAGAACTACTGTTTGTCCCCAGTAAGCATACGTGAAGTAACTATTTTTTTCTCAGTGACAGTATAATTATCATATGCAAAGTTCATATTGTTCAAAGCTAAGGAACTTGTCCTGTGTATGTACATGCACACGTGCACTTAATTCAAATGCTAAAAGTAGCTTTTATTTATTCTATTAAATATAAGTAGTCAAAAACAAAAAACACAAATGTAGTAGTCAATTTTTCAATTGTGCTACTGAGAAATCTTCAAATTACGTAGTTCGTGCAGTGTGAAGAGGATATCATAAATTTATTCACATTCTAGTTCTTGGGTACTATATTCCACTGTTTAATTTGTATATAACTTCCATTTTATGGTTAAGAACCAACATTTGTATGGATGTCTTTTATTACTAGCAATAGTGGGTGGTTTTTTTATTTAAGATCTATTTTTCACACAGAAGTAGTTTCATTATCTAATGAGACTTATTACATTCATAAACATTGTTTTTTTGTGATAGAGTTTCACTATGTTGCCCTCGGTAGAGTGCTGTGGCGTCACAGCTCACAGCAACCTCAAACTCTTGGGCTTAAGAGATTCTTTTGCCTCAGCCTCCCAAGTAGCTGGGACTACAGGTGCCCACAACAATGCCTGGCTTTTTTTTTGGTTGTAGTTGGCATTGTTGTTT